ATGGAGACGGCGTGCGGGTGTTCGTGGGTCCCCCAGAGGCCCGCGGCGGACGCCTTGCCTACTGTGGGGAGGGGTTGGGAAGGAGGTGGACCAAGGGGGGAACGGGCAAACTGGGCCAAGAGCGGAGGAAACCCTAGTGGGTACATGATTTTAAGAGGCGATCTTAACGAGTGTATAAGGCTTTTCTAAAGAAATCCGAAAGATGCGGTGGCGCCTCACTTTCCCGAGCAATAGGAGCGATGCTCCCCACCCTGGCTGCTGGCCTGGAAGGGACACTGGCCCGCGGAGATTGCTTGCTTTCTGCGTGTCCGCACATCGTGCCAGCAGTTAGGAAGTGGCTGCTTTGTCAGGAAGAGCTGCTACCAAGGAACAAATGATCAAACCATGCCGTTTTTTCTGTTTTCAGAGGTAAAAGATTTGAGTTTGCCGTCCTCAGCTGGGAACAACTCTGTGTTTTAGCTTCCCTCAAGCAGCTTAGACAGAGGCAGAGCTCTGATTTTGTGCTTTCAGAATGTGATTTTGTGTGGATGCCCGATTCAAATTTCAAATTCAAATTTCAAATTGAACCTGTATCGGTCTAGAGAAGGGAACTGTTTTAAACTGAGAGATAGGAGTCTATGACATGTTTCTGCTGGACCAGAAGGTTCATTCAAATGGTCATTGAACAATTCCAACCCCGAATTATCAAAGTCTGTTATCAAAACAGTGGCTAAATATAATCCCAGATTAGATGCATGAGGTGATTTGAGAACAAGAAGGAAGAAGAGAGGATTATTTTTCCAAAAATGAAATGTCGATATATAATAATTTGCTGCTGTAGCAGCTCGCTAGAAATAGAACACTGATTTTTCGATGTCGTAGTGCCCAATATTGTTATGACTCGGATATATTCTTTTTCTGTTCTCTGTTCAGTAGTCCCCAGCAAATCTATTTTCATTAAAGCATGGAATACAGAAAACAAAGGACTTCAGCTAATGCTTCGGCTTCACCTGATATTCTACAGGTAAGCTCATCTTATTTTGATTTAGAAATTATCCTGCATGGGTAAAATTGACCATAATAGTCTCCTTTACAAAATTTTAAAGATCATTTACTCAGCTCCAAAATTTTGTTATATATTCTTGTATATTTCTTTCCCCAAATGATTTGAGAAGGTACAAGAGTTAATTAAGGTCTATTTAAATAACTTTGGAAAATATATATATCTTTAAAAAATTGAATTAGTATTAAAATACCATAGTACCTCAGGAAAATTTATATCAGCTTAACTTGGTGGTTATAGTTAACTTCAAGTTCAGACTCAATTCTCTCTATCCCTGAGAAAATACTCCAGTAGATGCTTTCTTCTCTTTTCTTTCCCCTTCAAGTGATTTGTCTTCTCTCTGTGCCCAGTCTCCAGCTCTGTTCTGTCCACCACTGGATGATATAGGTAGAATCCATTTTAGGAAATACCTCTGTCCCTTTCACCACTATATAATGTCCAGCCAAATGTGCTTTTCTGTTGCAGCTCTAAAAGCTATCATTGCTGATCCTTGCTCACGGTGTTGGTAGATAACCATACTTTACAGCTTCAAGAGTGAGCACAAATGTGTGGGGTCAAACAGGGTGCCCTTAAATGACCTTGCATCACAGGTGCATTCAGAAATTGCAGTTCGCTTAACAGTAGGCTCTTTGGCAAATATCTCTTTGGGACTACAAACAATGGTTTTAATAAAAAGTTGCATATTATAAATATTGATTTGTGTTTGGCACCAGAGCTTTTGACACATTGTGAATTAGAGGAGAAGGTAAGATGAGTATGGGTTAGAAGCATGGAGAGTTGGAGGGGCCACATCTAGATACAGGGAGAACGTCTATAGGGTAGAGCCTTGAGAGGCTGCACGATGGAAGATTTGGCTTCAAGAACTTGCACCACTTGAAGCTCTCATAAATTAAGGAATAAGAAACAGAACACTAGAGTAGATGATCAGAGTCTGCCATTCTGTGTGTGTCTGACCCTGAATACACGTAGCTAACGAGAAAGCTAAGGCCTTTTGTTGTCCCCAGATAGCATCCACAGCCCAGGTTAATAATTATCAGCCCTGCCTACCCTCCAGGAACCATTTTACTTCAGGAACATATTACCAGTACTAAGACCCTCTTTTCAGCAGCCTGGCCCTTTGTGGTCATGAGGAAACCTAGAGGAGAGAGATCTTAGGAGGTTTTACTGATGTCCTAAGATATGTTATTTCATGGGGTTAGAACAAACACTTCCAAACCAGCATCCTGTTTTATAAATAAAATTTTATTGGAGCACAGCCATACCAGTACGTTTAATATTGTCTGTGGCTCTGTTTTTACTGCAAAGGCAGAACTGAATAGCTGGGATAGAGACCATAGGGCCCACAAAGGAAATATTTGCTACTTGACTTTTTTTTTTTTTAATTGCCCACTTCTGGGCTAGACCATAGAATTTTGCTAGACTCCTGAGCTGTGCTTGGACAAGTCTGCAGCCACCTCCCCTCAGCGTGACTGAGGGCTCAAACTATGTCTCTTATCTGGGCATGGCTACTATTTTGGTGACAAACTTTTTTTTTTTTTAAAGATGGAGTTACCCACTTTCTAAGATAAAAAAATTTAGTTTAGTTCCTTTCTCTAAACTGACACAGATTCTATAATTTGCACATTAATTGGGCACCCACACATTCTGAGAGTGCAAACTCAGCTCCCCACTAGGGAGGCTGACCACTGCTTTGGAGACATTTGAGGAGGGAGGTCTCTCTCCATCTTCTCCAGGTGAGCTTTACTCACTACACTTGGTGTGCAACTTAAAGATATGAACCTACCTCCTTGCTCTTCATGGAATGTAGCAACTTGAGGGCAGGGTTTGTCTGTCCCTTCCCAGTCACAGCCCCAGCCTCCGACAAAGGACCAGTATACCGAATGAGTGAGTGAAATTTCCTCCACTTGGTAAAGCTGTAACAAAACAGAGACAGAAAGTCCAGCTTTCAAGTCAGCCTTCCTCCGTTCTGCCTGATGAGTGTGCTCTTTGCTCTGCTCCAGTTTTCCTAGCTTCTCTGGATCCGGCCATCCTGTTGCTTCTTCCCACAGGCTGCTCTGTCATGGCATTTTCTCCGACTGCTCGGCCCTGAGTGCAAAGGTAAGTCCACTTTTGCTCTACTCTTTGCTCCCTGCCCAGGAATCTCAAGAGACAGTAGGATTGGATGTGAGGCTGGCCTTTTCTACGGCACTATGCTCTGGAGAAGGAGCACAGCATCCAGAGGTGGGCCTGAGTTTGGGCTCCTGGTCTGCCTGTCCTTGAACTGCACAGTCTCTGAGTATAAATACCTAATACTCCATCACTGTTTCCCAATTCAGCACTTATTATACAGTGCTGTCAATGTGCTTTGTAAATTGCTATAGAAGTGATACATACTTAAGCCCAAAGGCTCACCTTCCCTTAAAAACACAGACAGAAAACCCTGTTTAAAATCCTAACATGCATTCACATTCGTAAGAGTGGGTTTCTTTTTACTCCAAGTGCAGATAGAGCAAAAGCTAAAAGAAAATTGCGCTGAATTTTCCTTCTCAGGTCTTGCTACTTTTGGCTTCTTGTTTTTCTTAGCCCAAAGACTCTAGACAATACAACCCCAGAAATCTGTAAATATTCCCACATATTATTATTCCTACAGGAAAGTATGTTGTCTGCAAACAATACATATTTTTAAAATACGTTTTTAAAACTCTAGGTGTTTTCTACTTCAACACACCAAAGCAGGAGGCTTTTATTTTAATAAGACTTGTATGGAAGACATTCTCCCATACATCTCAGAGTACACTGGAAGGTGGTACTGATGCAGTTAGCAGAGGATCCAAGGGCAGAATTGGGAAATAGCGATGGAGTATTAGGTATTTACACTCACCATCCACTGAACACTGTGTAACAACCATAGAAAGTTCTTCTTAATGGCAGGGTTTTTTCTTCAACTCAGTGACTACTTCAGATTCATTCTTAAAAATTGAACAATTTTTTAAAATTACATAAAAATTAAACATACTACATTTTAAACATCGGTAACAAAGTCATGGAATCTTGGAGTTGGGAGGGACCTTAGAGGTTACTTAAAATAATTTGAAACTCAATGAGGAATTAATCCGTAACATTCCTGCTAGCCACTTGAAGATTTCCACTGGTAAGGAGCAGTCCATTCTAGAAATCTATATTGGATCCTCTCACTAATATTTATCTTGGGCTTCCATTTGCCTTCTGGAGTTAAAACTGACATATTGCCCAGCCAGGCGTCACTCAGAGGTTGAGCATTGACCTAGGATCCAGATTTCGGTTCGATTCTCAGTCAGGGCACATGCCCAGGATACGGGCTCGATCCCCAGCTGGGGGCGTGCAGGAGGCAGCGAATCAATGACTCTCTCATCATTGGTGTTTCTCTCTCCCCCTCTCCCTTCCTCTGTCTGAAATCAATAAAGATATATTTAAAAAACAAAACAAAAAAACACCTGACATATTGTTCGGAATACTTGAAAGCATCTACCGTGGTTCTCCTAAGCTTTTGTTTCCCCCAGACCAGAACATCCCCCAGAGCCACTCCTTCTAGTCCTCGTGGGAGGTGATAAACCGAATGCATACCCAATGGCTTCCCTTCATCTGAATTACTTCTGACTTACTAATGGGCCTTTTAAAATGGAATGTATGTATGTGTGGCTATGGGATTATGATCCCTTTTGTCCAGACATTTTTTTCTATTTCTTGAACCCCAGAGTGTTTTAGGGCTTTTGGGGGGGGGGGCGTATGTATATATGTGTGTTGAGGGAGAGGGACGCATGATGATATTAACTTGGAGAAGCTTAGCACTGTACTCCCTCACAATCATTTGGGGAATGCTTTCTATGTGCCGGATACTGTGCTTGATGCCAGGGATCAGCGATGTACAAACATGAGCATCATCTGCACTGGTGGAGCTTGATGGGGCCTGAGAGTGGTCCTGGCCCAATCCTCTAATGTTCTGGTGAGAAAAGCAACTCTCCAAATTCAGTGACTTGGCACCTTCTGCCCCCAGCCCCCAGCTGTTAGAACTGAAGTCCTAGTCTCCTGATTCTCCAGTTATTCTAATCAGCACCTTTCTTCATATTAAACTCATACTCAGCTAGAACCTGAAGGTCTTTTTAGCTCAGGCTGCTGTTAATATGACCCCCAATCCTGCTCTTGTGCAGTTTGTTTTTCGAACTCTGATATAGGGCAACAAATCTATTCCCATCAGATTTCATCTCGCTTTAGCCCTGTTCCAACCTGTTGAACACTTTTTATTTTTTATTGTGTGTTTTTTTTAAATGTATCTTTATTGATTTCAGAGAGAGGAAGGGAGAGGGAGAGTGAGAGATAGAAACATCAATGGTGAGAGAGTCATAGATCAGCTGCCTCCTGCACGCCCCCAGCTGGGGATTGAGCCTGCAACCCGGGCATGTGCCCTGACCAGGAATTGAACCGAAATCTGGATCCTAGGTCAATGCTCAACCTCTGAGCCACGCCTGGCTGGGCTCAACCTGTTGAACACTTCTTAAATTGCAATTTCATCTTCTATTGAATTCACTATTTTTGTTCCTGATGTTTTCTGTCTACAAAATTGAATAAGTCTATGTTTGTCTTTGATAAGAAATGTTAAACAGGAAAACGCTAAAGATAAGCCTGCGATTAAACCCTAGTGATTTTTCAGGTTGGCAAAGATGCTCTGACACCTTAGAATATAAGCAGGATGGCAGATCTGTGGCTGTGCCGGTCAACACTGTATTCTCACAGTCCAGCACAAGCCCAAGAAATGCGTGTTGAACAAATGACTGCATGAAAAATACACTGACCGTGATGGGTCAGCCAATTTTGAAACTGCCTAGACACTGTCACTGGACTCACTTTTTTTCCATTTTGTTCAGAAGGACCTTTCAGCTCCCTGTCCTCTCCAGTGAAGTTTAGTTCTTCCATGTTATCTAAGGCTTCCCTTTCTCTTCAGTCAAAGAACCCTTTTGAAAATAGGGGTGAGGTTGGCCAGATGAAATGATTAGTGACTCTCTGCTGGCTTCTGATGGCCATCACTTTTGTCTCTAAGTGTTCGCTAATGTTTGCAGAAGCTCAGACACATATTTAGGGTTATCTGGAATATAAACTCATTAATATTCTTTCTCCCTAGCAATTCTTTCATTTCTGAAATGTGTCCTTGGAAAGTACATTTTTGGGACGTGTCCTTGACACTAATCTCAAGGAGCTGAACATGATTTGCTTGGAGATTGAATGATGTTTGCATTTAGGATTTCCCCCTTTTTAAAGATTCTGGTTTGGTTTTGACAACTTTTCATCCCCCAGGAAAATCAGAGGTGCCACACGGTGTGGCGGCAAGTGAAAATGCTAGGCCAGTGGGATAAAAACAAGTCAGGAAGGGTGCATTGTGGTTACAAACCCCGCCAAGGGGTGAGGACACCTGGATTTCCAGGCCTGTTGGCTGTCACCCTAAGGAGCAGTTCTCCAAATCTGTCTCCTTAGCTGGCAGATAAATGTTATAGTAATGGAGCTACCTCACAAAGTGGTTTTAATCGTCAAACAGATGGGTGTATGAAAAGTGCTTGCTATAGTACCAGGACCACGCAGGGGTTGTTGCTAAAATATGGAGCGAGGAGAGTGTAAAGGAATGGGTGAAGTAGAAAGCAAGTTCTTAATGCAAACCTTTGTTTGCCTTGACAGATTAAAGCATATTTTATTTTTAAGCATTGTTAAATTAGGCAGAATTATCAGTCACAGTTCATTCATTCAATATATAAAATTTGATTCTCTGTTCTACATCCAGTTGTGTGTTTCAAAGTAAAAAAAAAAAAGTAAGCCTTATCAAATACGCACAATTTTTAAAGTAGCTTGATGCCACTTGAATATCTCTCACCTCAGTTTGAAAAGGTTAATGTGTTTTGTATGCATATAAGGACACCAAAATATGCCCATGAAAGTTCGTAATAGCACACTATTCATGATAGCCCCAACCTGGAGTCAACCCACAGTAGAAGAGAGAAATAAATTTATATAACAGCACATTATACAAAATGAAAATGAACAAACTGCAACCTCACATGACATCATAGAGAATCTCTTAAACATAATGTTGAGCTAAAGAAACTGGACACATCAAGAAGAGACATTATGATTCCATTTACACAAAGTTGAAAAGCAGGCACAAGTAATCTATGGTGTTAGAACTGAGGACTTTAGGGAGAGGGAGGAAATATTGAGAGAGGCTGAAGGGGACTTTCTGGGGTGCTGGCCATGTACTATTTCTTGACCTAAATTGTGTGTTTACTTGGATAATTCATCTTCTAATTTGTGTACTTTCTTTTTGTTTGCTATACTTCAACAGAAACATAAAAAAACTTGGCAATCCAATCAGTCATTCTGCATATCTGGTTACTGTGTGCAGTGTTGGCAGCCCTGGGTCACAGCCCTGGGTGCCCCAGTCCGCGTGAGAGCACCATCAGGTGGTACCAGGCACTAACTCATGTAATCTTCAAGATAGCCCACAAGTTCAGGCACTTTAAAAAACCTTTACTGTTTGCATTTAATAGAGAAGAAAACTAAGGCTTGGGGAGAGTCAATAACTTGCCCAAAGTTGCAGGCTTGTAAGTGGTGGAGACAGAATCAAACAGGACTCCAAATCTTAGGTTGTATGGAGGAATGTTGCTGCCCCTCAGCTGACTGGGTAATCCATCTTCTCCCCCACAGACCTCTAAGTAACTGAATTAGGATTGTGATGCTTGGTTGATAGCTGAAAAAAGAAACTTTCATGAAGTTAAATAACTTCCCCAAGGTCAGACAGCCATTAAGTGTTGCAGCCAAGATTTCGGGTGGACCATCTAACTCTGATATCCAAGCATTTTTATGCTTTTTCTTCCTTTTTTTTTTTTTTTTATAAGTTTAAAATACAAAGTAAACTATAAATATACAAGAATGCCTGCATTTCCATCGCCCTGAATTAACAACTATTTTATAGTATTTGTGGCTAGTCTATTTTTTCCCGTTTTCACCACACGCCTCCTTCATTCTTCCACACAGACACCCACACTGCTGAGTGTGGAGGTATTCCTGCAGTCCCTTTACAAAGTAGTTATTGCAACAAATTAGAGAGCATTACCAGCAGAGTGACACTTAGAAGTGCTGTGTTTCACTTCTTTTGGCCGCCCCCGAGTTCTTTATTGGGGAAGTACAACTGTCGTACTGTGACGTAAGACATCAGCTGACATGAGAACTTAGAGGTTTTAAGGTGACTACCCACTGCCGTCTGAATTCTGAACTATCCATGAACTCTCTGAATTTTGTGGACTAGCAGTATTTTAACTTTTTATTTCTGCTTACAAGGATCCCTCCCCTCTTTGACCTCTCTAGTCCCCTGACCCATATGTAAATGCTGTTACATTTCTTACATATCTTACAGAAATTTCAAGCATTACTTCTGACTTCTACTTACTACTGAATGTTCAGTTGGAGAAACTGAAGGCCTTTCACTCACTCAGAAGAAAGAAATCAAGAAGGAGGTAAGAAACAGAAATATATTCATGGCTTTGAATCCTGCTTTTCTTTAAGTAGTAAGAATTCATCAAGATTATTTCTTTAGAATGATCCCTTTTGACAATAAAAATCAATTTAGAGACACAAATAGGATGGAAAAGATGCCAAGGGTAGAACACAGCTGGTGCTGGACAACCTCTATTGTTGAATAACTGGCCACATGCTTTGCACACATCAGCACAAATTTGCCCTGTATTAACATGTCCAATGCAGAGAGGAGGAAGCTGAGGCCCCAAGAGGTAAATAGCATACCCGCTTGCCCTGGTTGGCAAAGGAAGGAGCTGGGGTGTAGACTCTGGTCTCTGCCCGCAAGCCACCTGTGTAATAGGTAACCTAAAGTCTATTCTGGCCAGTCCTTGAAACGCCCTGCCCACCTTTTGGACTAGATAGTTCCTCTTCCTTTTGCTGCTGCTTTATTTTCTTCTTTGTCCTATAAGCAGTAGATGTCATGACCACAGTCACGTTTTCACATTTGGAAACCGTGGCTTGTAGAATGCTCTAAGTTAACTTTTATAAGATTTGCTGTTTTGAGTTTTCCCCATTATTGAAGAGTAACAGGGCCTCCATTGCCTATATGCAATTATAGGTGACTCCCCTTACTTGGGACATTTTCCTTCCATTTGGCCAAGATTTGTTATAATGTGCTGATTTGTTAGATTGAGACCTGAGAGTGCCATCTGACAACTTTAGTAATAAACGTACGGTATTAATGGCTGAGATGTAAATGGAGCCCCTGGAGTTGTACAGCGACTAGGAGCCAGGTGAGGAGAAAAGGTAGGAAGGTGTTAAGTACCTGCACAGCTCTCATCCTAGGACAGCAGATCTTGCATTCTCTTGCAGGCTTTTCCAGGAGCTGGCTGTATAAGGCTGGTAATGGGGGCTAGGCGGGTGGGGTGTGGGTGCCCAGACCTCCATGTTGTCCTTCTACAAATGGAAATAGCATATCAAGCAAGCCAGTGTCCACTGCACTCCTGCTAGAGGTTGCCCTCTGCCTTGCACATGGCTATTGTGAGAAAAATGTTCTTTGCCAACAAGGTCACAGAAACTTAAGTGGAGGGTCAAGACACATATACATGAAACCAGATTGGAGAGCTGTGCAAAAACATTGTATTGCGTTGTGTGACTTAAAGTACAGCAAGCCTTAGAGATAAGAAAGGTAATTGTGGCTAGAAATAATCAAGGCAGGTGACATATTGCCATATGGACAGAACAGGAGTCTTGAGATCCTGTCATTTTCATATGCATTTAGAGGCAGAAGAGCTGTGTGTCCAAAGATCTAAGATTGACCCAAGGTAGAACCCTTGGTAGACCAGCCTTCCCATATGATGGAATTAACGTATGGTTCCCAGGAGCCCTCCCCCCAGGTGATTGTGGGGGAAATGGACCGTCAGAAGCCGCGTCTGCCTGCCCCTCATGTTGTTGATATGTCCCTTACTCTGAAGTCCCTTAGCCTTCGGTTTAAGCACCTACTGTCCAGACTGAGCATTGAGTTCAGCCAATAATGTATAAAGGGGGCTCAGGTGGTGGTTGGGGCAAATGAAAGCTATTTCAGAGTGTGAGCATTTAAAAATTCCAGATTCATCTATTTGCATCTAGAGAACTTTCCTTTTGGGTGAAGAATCTCTTTATTTCATCTCACATCAGGAAGTCCCATGAATAGCTACTGAGTTTTTCTTACTCCAGATTTTCTAGAATCCAGTCAGATCACATAGTTGAGAAAGACCCTTGGTTTATTTAGACTAGTTGATGATAACTCCTTGCATTAAATCTTTTACTTAATTTTCATAGTGGTAAAGAAGAGAAGCATTCTTTTTGGGTGTTTTTTTTTATTATAGATTTATTTTCTATTTCAAATTAAATTTATTAGGGTGACATTGGTTAATAAGATCATAAAGGTTTCAAGTGTACATTTCTATGATACATGATCTGTGTATTGCATTGTGTGCCCACCACCCAAAGTCAAATCATCTTCCATCACCATATATTTGGCCGCCTTAACTCTTTATTACCCCCACCCCCTTCCCTCTGATAATCACCATAGTGTTGTCTGTGTGTATGAGTTTCAGTTTTATATCCCACATATGAGTGAAATCATATGGTTCTTAGCTTTTTCTGATTGACTTGTTTCACTTAGATAATATTTTCAAGGTTCATCCATGTTGTCACAAATGGCAGTATTTCATCTTTTCTTATGGCTTAGTAGTATTCCTTAGTGTGTATGTATCACATCTTCTTTATCCAGTCCTCTATCCAAGGACATTTTGGTTGTCTCCATGTCTTGGCCACCATGAATAATGCTGAATAGGATTATATCAAACTAAAAAGCTTCTGCACAGCAACAAAACAAAAAGGCAGCCAGCTGAGTGGGAGATGATATTTGCAAACAACAGCGCTCATACGGGTTTCATATCCAAAATGTATAAAGAACTCATAACTCAATACCAAATAAGCAATCCAAGTGAAAAATGGGCAGAGGACCCGAACAGACATTTCTCCCAAGAAGACTTACAAATGGCCAACAGATAAATGAAAAGATGCTCAACTTCACTAGCTAATAGAGAAATTTAAATCAAAACTACAGTGAGATACCACCTCACACCTGTTAGAATGGCTACTTATCAACAAGACAGGTAATAACAGGTGCTGGGGAGAGGCTGTGGAGAAAAAGGAGCCCTAATTCATTGCTGGTGGGAATGTAAACTGGTACAGCCAGTATGGAAAACAGTATAGAGGTTCCTAAAAAAATTAAGAATAGAGTTACCATATGAGCCAGCAACCCCTCTTATGGGTATCTACCCGAAAAACTCAAAAACATTTATTTGTAAAGATATATGCACCCCTGTGTTCACTGCAGCATTGAGTTACTTTGCCCTCCTGATAATGGCAACCTTGGACCTCTGCAGAGTCCCCTCTGTGTTCCCAACCCTGGGGCCAGTACAGAGTGTGCCCTTGGCTCAGGGAAAAGTGATTCTGTAGTTCCTTCCAGTTCTTGGGTTTGCAGATAATGTGCGTGGCAACTTGACACCAAGGGTGAAGAGAGGCCAGCTCTGGGAGGTTAGGGGTGGCCAGGCTCCATGCCTTTGTTTCTCTCTGGAATTCTGATCACCAGACAGCCGCAACCACACCTCTGTGCTGTGTGTCTGTCCAGGTTACTGAGCTCAGCCGCAGCTCATACTGCTCACTCCTGCAGGAATGCCCACTGAAGCTCTTTGCTCTTCCCAGCTAAAGGGAGTGCCAGCCACAACCTGATTCCTCCTTTTTCTGGCTGAGCCCCACTGTGAGCTCCTGACTGCAGGGCTGCTTCCGTGGCTCGTGGCTTCTCTCAGTGTTTCTCTCTTCTTGCCTCCCAGGTTTATTCCCACCTGTTCACCTTTAAATGTTTCAATGTGCAGATCTCTCAGTTGTGTTTGTGCATTGAGCAGGGAATCCTTTGTTGAATTAGAGGTGTTCAAATTGTTGAAACTTCAAGGGGAGAGACCAGGGGGATCTCTCTCATTTCTCTGATGTCACTCCAAAATATCTTATAGATGCATTTTTTAAACCCGCCCCTATAACTCATCTCTTTCTGTCCCTCTGGACATTTAGGACAAAATCATATTACAACAGTTATTTATGTAGAATAAGTATTAAGTTTCCAAAATAATCAAGAATATTTTGTAACCTTTATCTTGATGTAAAAAGCTCAAATATATTTTTGGTTGTTGGTATCCATTTGTTTACAGTTAAATGAAGTTAGTAAGATTCAGGTCAGGATTTTTGGTTTTGCTTGGAGCTTTGTTCTCCTGCTCTTTCTCCTTAAGTAGATAGTCAGATATCATCTGAAAGTGTTTTGGGTGATGGATTAATAAGCAGGCCTTTGATCAATCTTCCAGAACCTGATCCACGTGCTTCTGAGCTGCTGTGGATGGCCCTGGCTCTCTTGACCACCCTTCCTGGTAGGATGTCACTGAGATCCCTCAAATGGAGCCTCCTGCTGCTGTCACTCCTGAGCTTCCTCGTGATGTGGTACCTCAGCCTGCCCCACTACAATGTGATAGAACGTGTAAACTGGATGTACTTCTACGAGTATGAGCCCATTTACAGACAAGACTTTCCCTTCACTCTTCAAGAGCATTCAAACTGCTCTCACCAAAACCCATTTCTTGTCATCCTGGTGACCTCACACCCCTCAGATGTGAAAGCCAGACAGGCCATTAGAGTTACTTGGGGTGAGAAAAAGTCTTGGTGGGGATATGAGGTTCTTACATTTTTCTTATTAGGCCAACAGGCTGAAAGGGAAGATAAAGTGTTATCATTGTCCCTAGAGGATGAACAGCTTCTCTATGGCGACATAATACGACAAGATTTTTTAGACACATATAACAACCTGACCTTGAAAACAATTATGGCATTCAGGTGGGTAACTGAGTTTTGCCCCAATGCCAAGTACGTCATGAAGACAGACACTGATGTTTTTATCAATACTGGCAATTTAGTCAAGTATCTTTTAAATGTAAACCAGTCAGAGAAGTTTTTCACAGGTTACCCTCTAATTGATAACTACTCCTATAGAGGATTTTACCAAAAAGCCCATATTTCATACCAGGAGTATCCCTTCAAGGTGTTTCCTCCTTACTGCAGTGGGTTGGGGTATATAATGTCCAGAGATCTGGTGCCAAAAATCTATGAAATGATGAGCCATGTAAAACCCATCAAGTTTGAAGATGTTTATGTTGGGATCTGTTTGAATTTGCTGAAAGTGGGCATTCATATTCCAGAAGACACCAACCTTTTCTTTTTATATCGGATTCATTTGGATGTCTGTCAGCTCAGGCGTGTGATTGCAGCCCATGGCTTTTCTTCCAAGGAGATTATCACATTTTGGCAGGTTATGCTAAGGAACACCACATGCCATTATTAATTTGGCGTTGCACTAAAAACTTAGAGAAGGACAGGATACTTTGTGGGAAGTGTCAGTGGGTGCTAATGGAACACTCGTGAGAAGGGCACTGTGCTGGCTTGCACTGAACTGAAACTCATGTCAACCTAGAGACTAGAGACTTACAGGCTTACACTTTACTTGTGTTATATTTTGACACAAATCAAATCAGGCTCTTTAAAGATGATACTGAGAGAACTCAAAGTGTTTTGTTAATAACAGGACCAAACAATTTGAACATGTCATTCTGTAGACTAGAACTTCTTAAAGAGGTATTATTGAAGTATAAGCTCATTAGTTCATAACAACAAAGCAGTGTGGAGCTCTATTTATTGAATAGTTTAGTCAAGGGTTTTGTGTATCTCTTGTGTGGATTACCAGTTTTTTAAAATATATAGTTCTGTGTAAAAAACTTAAGAGTTATACCAAACAAGACATCATCTGTTTTTGGTCATTCAGAAGTTACTTTAAGATGTTGCAGTATTTCAGAGTTATTGATTATTATTTAATATTGCTTAGAACTTCTTGAGTGTTTAAATGTTATTGTTGTTTTAAGACTGTATAACAGAATAGCGGATCACCCTTTACATTGGAACTCTTTTCCAGTTACTTCACTAAGTTACTGATAGCTCCATGAATGTAAGGCCATGGGTCATTATTGTGTATCAGTAATCTCTTTGACTTTGATAAATATTTTACCGTGGTAATATAGAGAAGAATGAAAGGAAGAAAATCTGAATGATTGTTTTTAAAAATATAATCCCCAGTGTTTTTAGATGTCACTTCATCAGTCTCACTTTCCACCTGGGTATTAGGAATAATACCGAATGCCAGGCAGCCTGTTTCCTTTGGGAAAGGACTCTAAAGGAAAAGAAAAGAGAACCTGATACCCAGAATACAAAGAAAGGAGTGCCGTGACCCAGCACTTGAATTGGAAAGAGATGGCTAAAGATTTGAGTCATGTTGATAATCTGCTCCGTGTGTTTTCTCATTAATGATCAGTTTGCAAATAAAGAGGAAAAAAAACCCCAAACCACTGCTGCTCTATGGTTATTCATTTCTCATCAAGAGGAAAGCCCTAATGTGGGCTTTGGGTTCTTTTGTCTGATTAACAAAATGGAGAAACTAAATTATAATTTAGTAAGTGCATGGCATAGATGATGGTTTATTGAGGAGGGGGAAGAACACTAGAAGCAATCTTTGCCAAGAAAAGGCTTGGCGCCTCCTGCTCTTTGGTATGAGAGCTTCAGCAGTAACTCTTCAGGGGAGAGGGAAGTTCTCCAGCAAAATAGTGAATCAGGAGGTGTGTGCCCTACAGAAGGACATAGCGACAGTGGGCATGGCACAAACAGAACATGAGGACAGGAAGGGGGCAATAGCTGATTTATAGGCTGACCCTAAGGTGAGAGCATTCTCTACACTGCAGGTGGTGTGCAAATTGTTAGATTGTTTCTGAAAGGCAGTTTGCCTTTCCAATATTTATGCTCTTTGCCTCAGAAATTATGCAAGGAATCTTTCCTAATGAATTTATCAGATGTTTATTTCAATGTTACTGTTTTAACTAAAAATCTTTTAGTGTTCAACATGAAGAAAACATTAAATTTCAGTTTTCTCATAGATTTGAATATAATACAGCCATTAAAAATTATGTGTATGAAAAGTTTTTTGTCATGAGCCTGAATTTATTTAAAATTAAAAAACTGAAATGCAAATGTATGTGTCTATGTATAATGTGCTCTGAACTGTGTGCCCAGATCCCTCTGAATTCTCCAGCCTTCCTTTCCCATCAGTATTCAAATAGAATCCTATAAATTCCCATGAGGATACAAAAAAGTCCCCAGTGTAATGTACTTCAAAAGAAGCCTTGCAGCTTCCACCTAGGTCTTTTGGAATGCATGCTTCTGGAAAAGGTCCAGCTACCCTGAGCCTGCTACCCTGGGAGGAAGGCCAAGCCAGCCACGTGGCGAGAGAGATGGCCAGCCAGCTCCCCGTGCTCCTGCCAGGCCAGCTTAGGCATCAGACATGTGAGCGAGGAACTCATTTTGGAGTTGAGCCTTCAAACAACTCCGGCCCCAACTGCATCGGCCCCCCAACTGAGAACCTCCCGACTGGTCGCCACCAACCTACAGGACCATGAGAAATCCTAAATTTTGCTTGAAGCTACCAAGTTTCGGCATGGTTCATTATGGATAATTTTTAAACGTTTCTCATCAAGCAAATCTCTCATCAGCTGTGGCCCTCTGTCCTGGATGTTTGTGTCCCTCCAAAATGTGTAGGTTGAAATCTAATGCCCAATGGGATGGTTTTGGAGGTGGGGCCTTTGGGAGGTAATTAGGTCATGAGGGTGGAGCCTTCCTGACTGGGAGCAGTGCCTTTATTAGAAGAGGTAGGAAAGTGGTCTTTTTCTACCACATGAAGATGCAACAGGGCTGCAGTCTGCAGCCCAGAAGAGGGCCCTCACCAGGACCTGACCAACCTGGCACCTACGCTGTGACTTCCAGCCTCCAGAGCTGTGCTGTTCAGGAGCCACCCAGACCGTGCTAAGCTGTTAGAGCAACCCCAAAGGACCAACACACCTTTCATGGCCCAGGGCCAAGACTTCTCACGTCTGGCCCTTTCTGCAGGTTTCCAAGCCCCTCCCCCTGTTTTACGTTATCCAGGAACAATTTCTAAAATGTCTTTCAGTTTAGGCCTGTTTATGTTTTACTCTCGCCTTTCAGACCGCGTGGGAGGCCAAGTGCAGGTGAGCACTACTTGCATTTTCCCTTACGCCCATTCAAGACATTTCCCAGATTAAAAAAAAATCAACTTCCCTCAAGATAAATGATGCCGTTTTCGTAAGAGGTTACAGCAGCTGCAGTGATGGGTTGAAATGCCATTCTTCCCCCTCTGGCTACATTTGTGGAAGCTGCAGAAGCAAGTAGGATGAAAGAAAATATACCAAAATGTTAGCAGGAATTGCTGCTCAGTCACTTTTTCCTACGTTTAAATCACCTTTTACAACTTCATTCTCAACAATGAGGATAAATTACTGTTATAAATGTTTTAACAAATATACTAAACTTAAAAGCAGGATAAAAAATGTTGTGGGGGAAAGCTGGTAGAGAGGATCAAACGCTGGGCTCACTGCTGAGCCGCCAGCCCTGCCCCCCAAGGCAGAGGCTGCCCCTCCCCCCCCAGCCTGTGACCCAATCCCAGCTAGTGGGACCCAAGGGCATGTCTGCTGCTGAGAAACAATGGGCAGAATGGAGAAGGCTGGTGTGCAGGGCCTGAGCCAGAGGGGGGGTGAGGTGGGGGCCTGGGCTTCGTTTGCAGTTTGTAATAAAATTTATGCTAAGTATATACTACTATACTTTATACTAAGTCTCGAAATCAGGTACTATAAGTCTTCTTTGTTCTTCTTTTGCAATATTGTTTTGGGTATTACATGCACTTCGAATTTCCATGTAAAGTTTGTAATTAGCTTGTCAATTTCTATAAAAGTCTTTCAGGCTTTTGATTTGGATTTCATTAAATCTAAAACCTTGGGAGAGAGGATATTTTAACAATAATGGGGTCTACCTCTCCACTTATTTAGATCTTTTTAAATTTCTGTCAGCAATATTCCAAAGTTTTAGATGTAGCAGTATTGCACATCTTTCATTAGATGTATTCCTAAATATTTTATATTTTTGATGCTATTTTTGATGGCATTTTTTATTGAGATATAATTAACATACACTAAAACACACAAAACTTAAGTGCTCAGTTCAGTGAGCCTGGATAGTTTTATACATCTGTGTAACTGCCACCTAAAACAAGATATAGAGCCCAGCCGGGCGTGGATCAGCAGTTGAGCATCGACCTAGGATCCAGGAGATCAGGGTTCGATTCCCGGTCAGTGCACACGCCTGGGTTGCGGGCTCGATCCCCAGTCGGGGGCATGCAACTCATCATTGATGTTTCTCTCTCTCTCTCTGAAATCAATAAAGATATATTTAAAAAAGAAAAAGAAAACATTGAGTAGAATTTTAAAAAAAGAAATAGAACATTTCTATCGCCCCAGAAAGTTTCCTAATGCTGCCTTCCAGTGGATCCTCACCCCCATGCCCACCCCTGGCCCACAGCCCCATGCAGAGCTACCGCTTCCTGATGGCTGTCAGTACAGATTTCGTTTTGCCTGTTTGGCATTTTATGTAAGCATATTCATGCAGGATGTGTTATTTTGAGTCTTGCTTCTCTGACCTAACATAATGTGTTTGAGATTAATCCATGTTGTTTTGTGTGTCAGAAGTTTATTCTTTTTCTTGAGGAGTGTTATTTCATTATGTGATTGAACAATTTCTTTATCCATTTGGATAGTTTCATTTTGGGGCTATTATAAATAAGACTGCTCTGAAGATCCTTGTGCAAGTTCTTTCGTATATTTATGTTTTCATTTCTCTTGCGTAAATACCTAGGAATGAAATTGCTGGGCCATGGGGCAGCTGTGTATGTAACTTTATCACAAAATGCTTAACAGTTCTCAAGTGTTTGTACCATTGTACATTCCTATACTTTTTTTTCTTTTATGGTTCATGTTTTTTGTGCTCTGCCCAAGAAATCTTTATCTATACCAAGGTCAGAGAGATTTTTCTCCTATATTTTCCTCTAAATTCTTTATGGTTTTAGGTTTTACATTTAGGTCTATGGGCCAACTCAAATTTAAATTTTTACTCAGAGTCAGAAAGAGTTTGAAATGAGTTTTTTTCCATACAAATATCCAATTGTCTCAGCAACATTTAAAAAAATACTTTTCCCATTAGGGAGTGTTTAGTCCATTTATAGTTAATGTAATTATAGATATGATTGGGTTTAAGTGTACCATCCTGTTACTTTCCATTTTGTACCTTTGTTGCACCTTTCTGCCTTCTTTTGAGTTAACTAATGACTAGTATTCCATCTAATTTTGTTGCCTTTTTAACTCTCTCTAAATAATTTTTAAAATTCATTTTTTTAGAGTGGGACATCTCAGCCTTAGCACTATTGACATTTCGGGTCACATAATTATTTGTGGGGTGTGCTTTTTTAAAATTTAGCTTCCTTGTGGTTTGCTGTTCTTGGTTTGATATGTTAATGTTTTCATAAAACTTGAGAAATTTATGGCCATTATTTTTTCAAGTATTTTTCCGCCCCATTCTCATTCTTATCTCTTTCTGGCATTTGAATAACGTGTACCTTATACTGTTTCATAGTGTCCTACATGTCCTTGATGTTCCATTAATTTTCTTATCTTTTTTATTAAGTTCATTGACTCCTTCTTTTGCCACCTCCAAGTTCTGTTAAGCCAATCAGTGAATTTTTCGTATTTACTCTTCTGTTCTTAATTTTCATTTTCCATATCTCTGTTGAAATTCCTTATCTATTTTCTCATTAAGCCCACAGTTGCCTTTAATTCCTTGAACATATTTATTGTAACTGCTGTGTGTCTACTAAGATCAATATCTAAATAACTGAAAGTAGGGTGTTTGTGGCCTTAAATTCCTATTTCTTTGTATCTGGGCATAGTATTGGAAAAGTCTATATTCTTTCTCTGACCCAGATGACAAATATTCATCCTGAAATCTCTAATTATATCCCTCATTTCTACATTAGAAATTCTACCCAGAAAAAGGAGTGGAAGATCAGAATTTGTGGGTTTCATTTTCTACTCTGGCTATCAAATATTATTTTTAATGAAAAGGAGAAAAAGAATCGAATGCCACATTTCTCAGCTTTGTTAAACCCAATGCCAAATTCAGTAATCTGGTGATAAACTTTCATTACTCTCCATCTAGGCCCGAGGCTGTTCCAGGTTGAGCATTATGTGTGCGTGTATTTCACTGTCTTCAAATTCTTCAGTGTCCCTTCCTGCATCTTGTGAAAAATTTGCGGATAGATGTGCTCTTCCAAACCCTTTTCTCAGAGGAGTGTCCTGCCAGGTTGCCAGAGTTTACATGTACATATAGCTAATCTAACCCTTATCAGCTAACACTGGTTATATGATATAGATTTGGTTGGTGAAGTATAAAGTTG